CTGAATAAAATTAATATAACAATTAACTTACATTTTGTTTTTTGTTACCGTTGACGTATATACACACTTTCTATTATGTTATAATTTAATGAGAGGAGAGCATGTTGTCAATGAGATTTTTTCTCACCTACAAAACCAAAAAAACAATTATTTTTACTGCGTACAGGTGACAAACTATGTTATTTCGTTTTCTTGCTCTTTAACACGTCATCAGTAGTGACATCATCCATTTGTCTATATTTCTCAAATGAATCGCATTATGTTTTCTATGTAATATTATCATTTTCAACAGAAATTATTTTAATATTAAGTATGAGTAGTTGAAAATTTAAGAGAAATGTTCTTTGCAGATCCATCGAGAAAAAAAGTTTATATTGTTATTAAAAGTTTTCAATATATAACACGATTCATTATTAAGAAATTTTAATATTTGGTAAAAAAAAAACAAATTCGACATTTTAAATAAAAGTTCTCTATATAGTTTATCTCTTTCGTTTTTTTTCAGATCGATTCAAAAGATAAGAGATTTCAATAATATTTTATATCGATCAATTCTCATACTATAATACTTTTATTGTATAGAAGAAAGGAAATTATCTAAAGGAACATCAATTCATATTAATTATTATTCTTAGTGTTGATAACATAGATACATGATTATCTCTTTAAATTCTTTTTTGTAATTGTTTTTAGAGGTTATTGACTATAAACTATCTGTTAATGAACATTGAATCGTCGTCAATCTGTCAAAATGATGATAATAAGAGGTGTCAAATGTAGATTGAATATGAAAGGAGACAAAGAATTTACTTTAATGAAATGATATTATTTATTTCGAATATTCTCTTCTTCAGAATGAGGTCTAACTCTTTGTTTTGTATTAGATGAGATTTTTCGATGAAATACGAGTCGAAATTGGGAATGTCATCGTTTAAAACCCTATGAAAAGTTGTATAGGATTGTATCATTTTAAACAAATATTCATACATCAAATTCAAAGAAAAAGATAGAGAGAGAAAGATATTTGATTCATTTCGAATCATTATTCTCACTTTTTCAAGTTATTGGAAGAGTTCTATCTAGTTATTTAATTCAATCGATAACTTTCTCCACAATTCATTTGATTTATCTGACAATTACGTTCTATCTATTAGGGTTTTTTTCGAGGCAGAAGCTAGATCTCTTTATGGTAATCGTAGTTAACATTTGGATAGAGTAAGATTAATACAAGACCGTAGAAAGGTGGAAGAGGATAATGATAGACTACGAATAAAATTGTTAAGTAGGATAGAGCATGAGAATTTATATCCATGAACGACTCAACCAGATACTCAGAGAATCATCGATGGAGGTTATCAAGAGAGAATCGTAGCATTTTCGATTGGATTATCAGATCTAAAAAAAAATCAACAAAACAATGTTTTTATATAAGATAAATAAATATGACAAAACTGTAGAAAATACTTGTAGAGAATAAGTTTCACTTTTGTCAGTCAATATTTCCTGATTGAAAATTGTGAATATTAGATAAAAATTTTGTTTTTAATTTTGATTCAAAAAAATTTGATTCAATGTCAAACATCGATTTTTTTCCTATGAACAGATATCATGTATTACATTTACATTGAAAATGAGGAAATGCTTTGCTTATGCAAAGATTACATTATGACTAACAAATTCAAAATAAATAAGTTAATGCTCTAAAAAAAACACTTCGAAACATATTCTATGAAATAAAATATCTCTAACATTGAATATTTCAAAGAATTGAATAGAAATTCTAGACATCCAAGTATCGCTATTGTATCCAATACTGAATATTTGAATGCTTTTAGAAGATAATATTCAATATTGAAATAGATGAACTTTTATTAATAGAGAAAAGACGGATATTTATTTTCTTTAAATAATTTTTTTTAAGAGATCTCTTAATAAGTCTATATTGATTATGAACGATCATTTTATTTTTTCAGAAAAAATTCTTCTGTAAAAAGAGATCTATGCATCAAATCTTGCATCTTCAATATGTATTTTTCATGAAATGGTAGAATTGAAATGTGAGAAGAATGAGACAATATTATAAGTAGAGCTTCATGTGTCGACTACTACTTACTCGTTTAAAACTAATCGATTTAAAAATGAAAATCGTCAAAATCAATTAAGTAATGTTTACTCTATTCCACAATAAAAAGTTCGGACAAAAAAAAAACATTTAAGAAAGGATATGCATATACATAAGATTTGTATTAAATAAAACGAAATTGTTGATAGAGTTCGAATGAGATTTACTCTACTAAAATATGTATACAGATATGTTTCGATAAGGAAATTTATTGACAACTTACGAAAATAAATTTGATAAGCTTAGTGTTCAAATTAGTAAGCGTCATTATTCATTTGAATTTAGTTGAAATTATTTGATTTTAGTCTTATCTATCTCAAATTCGATTTATTGAAATTATAAAAAGAGAAATAATCAAATTAATTATATTCAATTTAAATCAATGAACAAAATTTTAATACTAATTTCCTATCGAACTTTTTCGCTCAATTGAGAATATTGAGTGTGAGATCGATAATTTGATTTGAGGGTATATATTCATTTACTTTCATTTTCACATGTCATACTCTCTTAAATCTGAGTTTAACATCAATAAGAAATATATGTTTTTTTTGTGTCTCAAGACTTCTAAGCAAGTAGTTATCAACAATTTATCTTATCTATTGCTAAAAATGATCTTGCAAACAATTTAAATATTGAATATATCGAATGAAATTCTATTATTGAAAAATTTCAATTGATATCATATTACATAATCTATTGTGTATATGAACTATGATCAATGTTATCTATTTCCTATAGAATAATTCAAATTCGAATATTCTATTATGATCAAATCTATATGAAATATAAAATAATTAAAAATAAATCTAAAGATTAAGTCACTAGTTTATTAGTAAATTTCGAAAAGGTGATACATTTGTGATCGATAGACGGGACGTACATTTTAATTTATCGTGATTAATATTTTCAAATATGATTTTGGTATGAAAAATAAAAAATGTTAGAAAATTTCAAAAATAAATTGATTAATTATGTAATAAAAGTTTTTTTTTCTCGTAATAAAGAAAGTTTTCAAGTTAAAGATTTGAAAAATTGGGTAACACTGTTTGATTATTTTGCGAATGTTGAGAAGTTTTGCTTCCTCGTCTATTAATAGAGTATTTTTGTTCAGTTGAAGATTTATTTGGACATATGCATTTCGATAAATAATCTTTAATAATAAATCTTTTCATGCATAAAAATAATAATAATGATAAAACACTAATTACTGCAAATGTAACGAATAATCCACTTACTGCCTCAATTTCAATTGCAGTCGATGTTACAGTTGAATCAGAACAAAATTTTTGTTCAAACCATTTTTGTCTTAAATTCTCAAGGTCACCTGTTTCTCTTAATGATAATATATTAACATCTAAATCTTGTGCAAATAACCATTGTCTAGGAGTAACAATACCAAAAATGCCAACATCAAAACCATCTCCAACTAAAGTTAAATTACAATAAATATTATTGGTCATATATTGAGCAATTCCGTCATCCAAAAACGATACATCAATAGTACCTGCGAGTAGATCATTATACATTTGTTGTTGAGTGAGTAACGGATGGTAATTTTTATTTCCTTTAGATATTTCTGATAAATAATACTCTTCACTAGCTGTACCTACACGAATACCAATACGATTAGGCGGAATTTTTCCATTTTTAATATCATCAATTCCAGAAATAATACCTTGTGAGTTAGCTATTATCAAATCAGATGCTAAATTAGCAGTATATGATGCAACTAATATCAAACTTAATATATATAAACCAGCAGTTAAAAAACGTCCAGCAGCTGTAC